AAAGTGGGCGGCGAACGAAAGTGCGTGGCGAACGAAAGTGGGTGGCGAATGAAAAAGGGCGGGCGAACAAAGTGGGCGGCGAACGAAAGAAAGCGGCGAACGAAAACGGTTGGCGAACGAAAGTGGGTGGCGAACGAAAGTGGGTGGCGAACGAAGGTGGGTGGCGAACGAACGTGGATGGAGAACGAAAGAGGGTGGCGAACGAAAGTGGGTGGCAAACGAAAGTGCGTGGCGAACGACATTGGGCGGCGAAAGAAAGCTGGCGGCTAACGAGGGCGGGTGGCGAACGAAAGTGGATGGCGAACGAAAGTGGGTGGCGAACGAAAGTGGGTGGCAAACGCAAGTGGGTGGCGAACGAAAGGGCGAACGAAAGTGGGTGGCGAACGAAAGTGGTTGGCGAACAAAAATGCGTTGTGAGAGTGGGTGGCGAACGAAAGTGGGTGGCGAACGAAAGTGGCTGGCGAACGAAAGTGGGTGGCAAGCGAATGTGGGTGGCGAACGAAAGTGGGTGGCGAACGAAAATGCGCGGCGAAAGTGGGTGGCGAACGAAAGTGGGTGGCGAAAGCGGGTTGCGAAAGTGGGTGGCGAAAGTGGGCGGCGAAAGTGGGTGGCGAAAGTGGGTGGCGAAAGTGGGTGGCGAAAGTGGATTGCTTGTCATGAATAAACTGTACTTTGTCCTGTTTCAGTGTTCTCTTGTCGTGTTCCAGTTTTTTTTAATCGTGAGAAAACCCTTATCTTGCCAGGACCTGGTCGTGGAGGGCTGGGCGAAGGATCAACTTCACCAGGGTGCATACTTTGCTCTGAGAAACCGTCGAAAGCGGACAGTCGCTTAAAAGGAACTGTCAGGCTCGGCGGCACTGGGTGCCACAGAGTTACCGTCGCCGACAGAAGTGACAATTTGTGAACAAAAGTCCGCCTTGTGCTGTCCGTTGGTCCAGACGCACATCAGCGGCTTGATTGATGGGCCTGTTTTCCACCACCACCACCACCACCACCACCATAAGTTGGACGGGGAGGAGGAGGAGGAGGAGGAGGAGGAGGACGAAGAGGAGGAGGACGAAGAGGAAGAGGAAGAGGAGGAGGGGGTGGATGAGAAGGAGGAGGAGGAGGAGGAGGAGGAGGAGGAGGAGGACCCCCTCCCCCTCCAACGTATGGTGGTGGTGGTGGTGGAAAACAGGCCCATCATTGATGTCGCCCAGGGACCATGAGCTACCCTGCAGGTGTCCGCTGGTACGGGCCGGGGGCGGAGAGCGCGAGCCCGCCATGCGGATGTACCCGACGTTGATGGGAACCCTGGTGGCGCGGGTCCGCTGCCCGCGCCGGGCCCCGGGGGCTCTCTCCCGTGCCGCTCCGAAGGCAGGGCCTGGTATGTGCAGGAGGGCCTCGGGGATGACTGGGACGCCCAAAGACATCATGCTGCAGCCCTCGTCAACGAGGGCCTCAAAAATGGCGACCACGCCCCTGCGATGTCGGCGCGCCCTTCAATGTCGATAGACGCGCCTCCAATGTCGGGGCCAGGGCAAAAGTGGTCTGACCGGGAACGACTCGGAAGTTCGACGATGACCGACATTGGAGGAGCGGCGCGTACAAGTACCTCGCAGTCATCGCTACTCTGTCCAGTAGCTCCCCACAGACAGTTCAGCCATGTACGACATTTTGAGGTAAATTGTGACGAGGGTTGTAGTACCATGTGTCCTCCTCGTAGGCGCGTCCGACCCAATCATGCGTATGGCCATATTGTAGAATGTCGTTTCCCGAGCGGGACGGTCAGAAAGCGCCCGCCACGGAGCAAATGCTACAAGATTGCTCAGCGCGCGCGTCGCCCCTTCGGGGGCGACGCACACATGAGATTAGCATGTTTGAGTTGCGCCGATCGAATGTGCAGGAGGGCCTCAGGGATGACTGCAGCAGCCTTCGGTGGCAACTCACGGGAGCCTCCCATACCATCTTGTCGGCTCTTGCGAGTCGACGCTGATCAACGCTAGTCGACGCTAGTCGATGCTAAATCGACGCTAAGTCGGCTTGTCTCATCGACTCCCAGACGCTGATCGACGCTAGTCGACGCTGAAGACGGACTCAAGAGGGCATACCAGGCTCCCATCAGTTGCTACCGAACGACGGTCTGCGCAGGAGGGCGTCAGGGATGACGGCAATCGCCTGCATAGCGCGCAAGATGCGCGCGAACAACCGGGGCACCACGTCGGGCAGACGTCTTGGCCTTACAGTCGGGGCGTTGACCTGAGGAACCCTAAATAAGGAACGGGGCCCCTTTCTGCCATAAGTTGAACTTCGATTTCCCATGGAAAACCTCAGGAAAACAGAAGGCAAACTGTCGAACAATCAAGGAACACCGAGCCCCTCCCCAACGAAAAATGTTCCTTCTCCAGGGCCCTGGCTATACGCGTGGTGCAGCCGTCGAGGCCGCCGAGAAGTTTGGCCGGGTCGGGGCCCAGACGAAGCGGACATCGGCTTCGCCGGTGGGAAGGAAAGCAACAGCCTGGCACCTCGGTGGGAGTTTGCGGGCGTGCTCGTTGCGGGAAGCGACCCGGTTGCGGCGGCGCGATGATCTGACTAGCCACCGTCGCGCTAATGCGGGTGACCTAGGCATAAGTCGGGCGTCTCCCCCTACAGGGGGATTTTGGACAACAAATCAAAAAATGACAAAAGAACAATCAAAGCACACCCCAAAATACTAAAACCATAGTCCCGAACTATCTTTGAATCTTCCTCCTGTAGAGGGACAGGCCCGACTTGAGCCTGGGCTGCCAGAGGTCCCCGAAGGCTGCTGGAGCCCTCCACTCTTGAACGCCGCGCGCCCGCGCCGAGTGTCTGCACCAGCCGCTCGCCCTCCTGGCACCTCGGCGGAAAGTTCTCCTCCTCCTCCTCCTCCTCCTCCTCCTCCTCCTCCTCCTCCTCCCCCTCGGGCGCACTCGTTGCGACGAGCGACCCAAGCGGAGCTGGCTTCGGAGGGCCGACGCAACGGCACCTGGCCACGCGTGGCCCCCAGGTGCCGATCGTGAGGCCCCTCGCGGCCGTGTCCGCACGAATGGAGTTGGCGCCCACCAGCCCGGCAGGGATGGTGAACCTGTGGCTATGGCTGTCAGGATCGCTGACCACAGAGCTGGATACCAAGGTTCGGGTCCAATCACTGACCAGTCCAATCCAAATCCACTGACCAATCCAAAGACACCAAATCCAAAATCACTCATCTACTGACCACTCAAAGACCAATCCACTGACGAATCCAAAGACACCAAGTCTACCAGAGTTGTCAGAATCACTGACCAATCCAAAGCCAGGGTCGTTGGTGTAGGCGCCATCGTCCCCGCCGGTCCCTGGGACCGACGGGAGGCGCCAAGGCGCCGGGCGGGGCGTAGGCAGCGTCTGTGCGTGGAAAGCGCAGAAAGCAGGTGGGTGAAGGGTCGGCATCCTTGGCCCACACGGCTGTGGCATGCCCTCCATCGATAGCCCACACGCGTTGCCTCTACTTGCGCGTGCGCAGGCCTTTTTCATGTTAGGTGTGCCGAGCGAGGGAGACAGAGAGAGAGAGAGAGATAAAGAGCGAGAGAGAGGGATAGAGAGAGAGAGACAGAGAGAGAAATGGGGATAGCGATACGTAAAGAGAGAGAGAGAGAGAGACCATAGTTGTATATCGACGAGACAGACGGTGACTAGGTGTCAGAAAACGAGAAGAGAGACGATATAGAGAAAGAGAAACAGAAACAGAGAACAATAGAGAAGCAGAGAGACGCATCGAGAGAGAGGGAACCAACCAATCTATATATATATATCTCAAGAAGGGGAGGAGAGAAAGAGAGAGAGAGAGGTACAACAAAACAAGAACGACGGAACGCAATCCACTGCCACAGGGATGGGGGAGGGATAGAAGAGAGAGAGAGAGAGAAGAGGGAGGGAGGAGGGAGGCGAGGATTGGAAGCAGGACATCATGAATTGTAATCTGACTTCGACTCATGAATGGGGCCTCGCGCTCGTGCCTTGGAGCAGCGACTCTGGATGAGCAGGAGGAGGAGGAGCAAGGACGACGGCGGCGTGAACTTACGCATGGAAAGTCCGGCTACTCATCGGGTCATGGGTATCCGACTGGTTCGTAGCACTGCGCCTGTACCAGGTCCATTCACTATGTCGCCTCCTGTCCTCCTTTCCGTCGATGACTGCTCCCTCCCCTCTGCACCTGTCATCCGTCGCAACTTCTCCGTTCTACCTTTCCTCCTCCTCCTCCTCCTCCTCGTCCTCCTCCTCCTCCTCCTCCTCCTCCTCCTCCTCCTCCTCCTCCCCCTGCCCCTCCCACCGCACTCTTACCACCCTGGCCGGGCATCCCTACAATTCTCTCTTCCGTGCCCCTACTCGCCAACACCTCGTCTGCCCTCCCAAAGCCATTCACGACGACAATACAAACGGAAACCGACCGAACCGACAACAAACTCGAAACCGACCGAAACCGCCAAGTAGCAAGCAGCCCTACTCATGCTAGTCCTGCCTCCTCCCTCCCCTTCGTCGTCGTCCTCCTCCACCTCCTTCGAATCTCTACTCCCCCTCCTCCGCCCACCCCTGCCTCCTGCTCCTGTCCTCGCCCTCGTTGTCCACTCCCTCCTGCTCGAACCGTTCCCTTCTGCTCCTCCCCGTGCTGCTCGTGCTCCTCCTCCTCCTCCTCCTCCTCCTTCTCTCCCTCCTCTTGCGCCTCCTCCTCCTCCTCCTCCTCTTCCTCCGCCTGCTCCTCCTCCTCCAGCCCCCCTTCCAGGTCCACATCGGCTCACTCCCCCTCTTCCTACCCTGAAGGGGCCCTGGGACACACAAATAAATACACACAGGTAAAAGGATTCCCCATAGTTTCCCATACTTTCTGGGTTTTTGTCTTCCCCCCCCACTTCCCATAGTTTCCCATATGTTCTGGGGAATCGACGATGAATCGTGTCTGTGTGTCTCGTTCCCTCCTCCTACCCAGCATGCAATCGCCTCGTCCTCCTCCCTCTGCGGCGGTCCTCGGCCGGGCCACACTGGGCCGTGTCCACGGGCTGCCCGTTCGTGGGCGTGGACGTGGTGACAGAGGTGACCTTCTGCCACAGTGGGCGAACACATCGAGGGGCTAAGGAGGAGGAGGAGGAGGAGGAGGAGGAGGAGGACGACGAGGGGAGGAGGAGGAGGAGGAGGAGGAGGAGGAGGAGGACGAGGAGGAGGAGGAGGAGGAGGAGGAAGAGGGGAGGGGGGGAGGGAGAAGGAGGAGGAGGAGGAGGAGGAGGGAGAAGACGAGGAGGAGGAGGAGCACGAGCAGCACGGGGAGGAGCAGAAGGGAACGGTTCGAGCAGGAGGGAGTGGACAACGAGGGCGAGGAGAGGAGCAGGAGGCAGGGGTAACCAGCCTCGATCGTATCCCTGTCCCCACGATCGACAGGCCCCAATGCGGCTACAATCCTGGGGATGCGCCCTCAGCAACACGGGGAAGACTGAAGATCGGTACTGAAATCAGGTGATGCCAGTCATGGGGATGGTCACATCTTCCAAGCTGGAAACGATGAAGGATGAAGCGGACGAGGACCAGGAGGCGGGCCTCATCCTCCGAATCCCTTATCGCAAGGAGACGGGAGAAGGATGGGGCTCGAAACTCTGAGGTTTCTGCCTGGGGGGTATCCGCAGCCTCCGCAGGCCCTCCGCGGGCAAGACCTCCGAGGGTCTTCAGAGAACCTCGGGAAGCCGCGACACCCGAAGCCCTCCGTGGACCTCTCTCGTAGACTGGCGTCGGGACGTGCGCCGTGTCGTGCACGCAGCGCGGGTGCACAGTACGCGAATCTGGCCAGCCAACGGGAACCCACGGGACGACATATTTATAATGCATGCACATGCATCTCTGCATATATATATATACAGCTAGAAGTGCATATCTACATGTCTGTGTACGTACATGTGTATGGTTGTATGGATGTATGGAAACATGGATGGATGGATACACGTATGCATGTATGTGTGTATGTGTATATGTATATGTATATGTGTAACTGTACACGTATATGTATAGGTGCACGTGCATGTTCATGCATGTGTGCATGTACATGCACATGTACATGTGTGGGCACATGCTTATGTACATGCATGTGGGTATATATATATATGTATATATGTATGTATATGCGAATGTATATTACGTATGCATGTATTATATTGTATGCATGTGCATATGTATATGCCTAGGTATATATGTGTATGTGTACGGTTATGGTTATGCTTATGTGTGTATATGCATAAGCGCCTGTGTTTGTCGGCATAAGTTTATACCTGCAATAGTTGTGCGTGTAGGTGTACGTAGGTATGCCTATATATATATATATATAGATATAGATCTATAGTCAAGCATGTACGCATGCATGCATGCATGCACGTGTGTATGTATGCCTTCATGTTTATGTGTATGGTTGTATATATATATATATATATATATAGCTGTGTGTCTATATCCTGGTGGGCTGACAGAGCCCTGGAGCACCTCGCGGAGTCGACGAAGCACGTGGCCTCAGACTTCTGTACAGCAGTATCTCTTATCGCTCGTGCCCACTGTGCCTTCGCACCCTCGCGCCGCCCCCAGGAGAGGGCTGACTCCTCGGAAACGGCCAAGAGGGGGTGTCCAAGAGGGGGGGGGTGCAAATCATGGCCGGCGGCACGTGCGCGGCCCAGCGGGGGGACCAGGGACGGAATGAAATAAGAAGAGGCGCCATGAAATCTGGGGAAATATCATGGCCCCCGCCGTGATATCCCCCCCCCCCTGGTCATCACCCCCCTCATTGCCGCCCACGAGACTCCCCGCCCACTGTGCCTTCGCACCCTCGCGCGGCCCCCTGGAGAGGGCTGACTTCCCAGCCCGGACCACGAAGCGCGAGGCGCGATGCGCGCGAGAGAGCGCGCCCGTGGTAATTGCGCTCCCAAAGGGCGGGAGGTCCCCCCTTGGCTACCCCCCCACACCCCTTGGACCTCCCCTGCCGGGAAGCCCCCCCCCCCTCCTTTTTGTTCCCGCCCCTCGGGAGCTGCCCTTCCCCCCCGCTTTCGCCTGGGCTCTGGAAGCTACCCCCCCTCCTCTCCCTGTCCAAGGGGAGGGGGGCTTCGCACCCCCCCCCCTTTGAACCCCCCTTTCTGGAAGCCCCCCCCTCCTTTTTTCCCGTCCCTTTCCAAAGGGGGAAAAGCTTAGCTACCTCCTTCCCCTTGGACCCCCCTGCCAGAAGCCCCCCGCCCCCTCCCCCCTTTTGGGCTAAAGGGGGGGTGGGCTTGGAATCCCCCCCCTTGGCCAAAGGAAAGAGAACCGAAGACCAAAAGAGTCCAGAAAACCAACAGAGCGCAGAAAGCCAAAGAGCCACCGAAAACCGAAAGGGTGCGAAAACACCGAAGGAACGCCGAAAACAGAAAGGGCGCCGAAAACCGAAGGTGCGCCGAAACCCGGAAGGGCGCCGAAAACCAAAGGAAAGCCACAGGTGCGCCGAAAACCGAATGAACGCCGAACACCAAAGAGGCGTCGAACACAAAACAAAAAACGGCTCCGAAAACCAGCGCAGCGCCGAAAACCAAAAGGGCACCGCAAACCAAAAGGGGCGCCGAAAACTAGAGCAGCGCCGAAAACCAAAAAGGCGCCGACAACCAAAAGGGTATGAAAACCAAAAGAGCGCCGAAAACCAAAAGAAACCACCAAAAAGGCCGCCGAATACCTAACGAACGCCGACAACCAAAGAGACGTCGAACATAAAAAACTCCGAAAACCAATAAGGCGCCGAAAACCAAAGAGCACCGAAAACCAAAAGGGCACAAAGAACCAGAGCAGCGCTCAAAACAAAAGGGCACCGAAAACCAAAGGAGCACCGAAACCCAGAAAGGCGGCAAAGGTCGCCCAACTTGAAAAGGGCGCCGGAAAGCAAAGCGTCTCCGAAAACCAATAATGCGCCGACAACCAAAAGGTCGCCAAATACCAAACTGGCACCGGTAACCAAAGCAGCGCCGAAAAAGCAAAAATGTGCCAAAATCCAACACGGCTCCGAAATACCAAGGAGCGCCGATAACCAAAAGAGCGCCGAATACCAAAGAGGCGCCGGAAGCCAAAGGGGCGCCAAAAACCAACGATGCGCCGAAAATCAAAAAGGGCGCCGAAAAACCAAAGACTCACCGATTACCAAAATGGCGTCGAAAACCAAAGGGCGTCAACAACTCAAGGCGCGCCGAAAGCCTAAGGGCGCCGAAAACCAAATGAGCGCCGAAAACCAAGCACCGAAAACCAAAAGGCACCGAAAACTAAAGGGGCGCCAAAAACCAAAAGAGCGCCGAAAACCAAGAGGGCCCCGAAAACCGAAGGGGCGCGGGAACCCAGGAGGTCGCCAAAAACGAACGCTCCGCCGACAACGAAACGGTGCGCAAACAAACAAAAAGGCGCCGACAACCAAAGGAGTGCCGAAAACCATGGGAGCGCCGAAAACCAAAGGGGCGCCGAAAACCGAAGGAGCGCCGAAGACCAAAGGGGTGCCGAAGGCCCAAGGGGCGCCGAAAACTAAAGAGGCACCGAAAACCAAAGAGACGCCGAAAACCACAAGTTCGCCCAAAAACCAACGGGGCGCCGAAGACCCAAGAAGATAAAACTTGCCTCGAGGCCCCCCTGCAGCCAGGGCCATCCAGCTGGAAAAGCCAAGAGAAGGAGGGGAAGGGAGGGGGGGAGCTTGGAAAGCCCAAGGGGAACCCGGGCTTACCCCGGGCCCCGAAAGAGGAGGGGGGGGGGGGGCGGCACGCCCGACTTGGATTGAGTCGGGCTTGTCCCCCTACAGTGGGATTTTCGACGACAAATAAAAAATATCCCGAAAATAACCAAACAATTATCCCAAAATAGTCTGGGGACTATTTGGGGGGCATTTGTTGACCATGTTGGTGCATTTTGGGAGTATTTTCTGGTTTTCGTCGAAAAGCCCCCTGTAGGGGGACACGCCCGACGCAACACGAGGGCGCAGCCTGTTGGTCACAAAGCGTTCGCACTGTAGCATCAGGAGGCAAACTTCGTCGTCGTCGTCGTCGCCGTCGCCGCCGTCGTCGCCGTCGTCGTCGCACCGCCACGGCGGCCAGGCTCCGCGCGCCGCAGCACGCGGGGGGGTGCCCCGCGCGCCGGGCGCGCGCGCGCGGCCGGGCGCCGGGCGCGCCGTGGCCGCGTCACGGGGGCCGAGCGGCCCGAAGTACACACAGAGATCCCAGGAGTCCCAATCTGTTCACAGATTTTCGCATCCTCCCCATCTTCCCACATTTTCTATATGTTCCACCTTGTTCACATATTTTATCAACATTTTCCATCTATTCCCATATTCCCATATATTCCAGATCCCCGCCCCCACTTCCCGTATTTTCCCATCTTTTCTGGGGGATCGAGGACTCCTTGTGTCTGCGTGCTTTTTTCCCTCTGAGGGCGAGGATAGGTCTGAAGGCGGCGGCTCTCTCGGTCCTCCTCCTCCTCCTCCTCCTCCTCCTCCTCCTCCTCCTCCTCCTCCTCCTCCTCCTCTCCTCTCCTCTCCTCCTCCTGCTTCTCCCCGTCCTCCTCCTCTCCTCCTCCTCCTCCTCCTGCTTCTCCCCGTCCTCCTCCTGTTCCTCCTTTTCCTCCTCCTTTTCCTCCTCCCTCCTCCCCCCCCTCCCCCCTCTCCCTCCCCCTCCTCCTCCTCCTTCGAGAAGATACGTTTCCTAAAGGGACGTCAGCGAAAGGGACTTCTGAGACCGCGGCGTTGCACCTACGCAAGGCTCTGGCAGGTGCGAGCGAAAGCGTCGTGCGGCGACCTCGTGGGCGAGGCCGAGCGGACCTGAGAGATCGGCATCGCCCGTCTCAAGAGTGAAGGGGCCTTTCGACGAAAAATAGAGCCCCCACGTTTTCCCGTATTTTCTGGGTGTTCGTCTTCCCCCCCCCTTCCCATATTTTCCAATATTTTTCTGGAGGATCGAAGATTCGTTGTGCCTGTGTGCGTCTTTCCCTCCTGAGAGAGCCCCTCTCCCTGGGGCCCCCCCTTGGAACCGCACGACGAGGAGGCGGGCGGCCGCGCGCACGTCTCAGACGCAGCCAGGACGCTGACACACATGGGGCGAGGATGGGTTTTAGGTCGGGCCCGTCCTCCTGCAGGTGAATTTTCAAGGCGAAAAATGAGGCAGACCCAGAACATACCCCACATACTCAAACGAATCATCCAAACATCGTCCCCTGACTATTCCTACTTTTTCTGGATATACCTCCTGTCGGCGGTGGACAAACCTCCCTTTAGTAAACCTCCCCTTAGTGAAAACGGCCTGGGACCGAAACCGACGGACTGGGACCCGCAAAAATGACGGCCGCGACGCCCTCTCGCGAACCGAAAACGGCCAATTCCTCAATCGACGTGTCAGGGTAGGAGGTCCGTCCACCTCCGATCCTGTAAAAGGAGTAGGTCGGGCATGTCCTCCTGCAGGGGAATTCTAAGCGAAAAAGGAAACCTACCCAGAAACTACACCAAATAGTCAAAAGAATAATCCCAACATCGTCCCCTGACTATTTTTACTTCTTCTGAATATACCTCCCGTAGAGGGACACGCCCGACTTAAGGAGAGATCGAGAATCTCTCTTATATCCGGCGGCTCTGAAGGATGCCTCGGGCGCCGCGGCCGTCTCAGAGCGTTCCGGAACGCTCTGGGACCTTTCTGGAGCGCTCTAGAGAACGGATTTACATCGTCATCCTACGGTCGGACCTGGGCCAGGAGAAAGTCCCCCAAGAACATGAGACCTCCGTCGGCCAAAACGACCTAAACATCCAGGGGTACCCTCCCCAGGATGCACAATAACGAACGTCCATTAGTGGAGGCCTGGGAATGGGCACCAACACCGACACAGGGGGTTGTCTCCATTGGGGGAAGATGATCCTAGATTTCGGTGTTGGTGGTAATATTTCGGTCACCTTGGAAGCCAGAATATTACCACCATCACCGAGATCGAGATCTTCTTCCTCGGTGGATGCACACCGCCGATATTGCTGTTGGTGTCAATCTCTAGGCCTGCGACATTAGACACGAAGAACACCAGGGTGCCCTCCCCGAACGATCTCTTATGCCTCGGTCCGGCTGTAGCCCCGCCCGAGCATCCGGCATCTCGCCCAGGCCGGCCGCGTCGTGGGGGTCCAGCCTCGATCCGAGGGGCCGGCGAACTGAGGGAGGGACGGCAAGGGGACAAAAAAGTAGAATCCCCTCGTCGTCGACACCATGTTCGTCTCCCCCCTCCCCCCGACTCAAAGTTGGGCTCCCGCGTGGCGGATGCCCCGGGGGTCCACTTTTTGTTGCCCTCTCAAGCCTGCGCTCCTGAACGTCTGGGAGCAGCTTTGACATGTGGGGGGAGGGGAGGGGGCAGAGTCAAGGGTTCCACTTTTTTCTCCCTCTACGGGAGGCACGCGAGCGAGGGCAGGAGCGAGGGGTCGGGCGGACGAGGCGGGTCGCGAGGCACGAAGCGGGGGACCGGGCTCGGCCAGGCGTGCGCGGGTGCGGGGCCGAGGCGTGCAGTCTGCCCGTGTACTTACGAGGGACGCACGGTATGGGTGCACGGGCCCTGAGAGGCCACGTCGACGCTGAGCGTGGCCCAGTCAGCGAAAGCGGCCAAGGATGGGCCGAAGGGGAAGGATTCAAGGGCAACCATGGAGAGGCGCCCATCCCTACCGTGCGGGTTGACTGCAGCGGACACGCTGAGGGACACGCGGTGGCGGTGCTCCGCCGAGTTCCGGTCGTCCTGGCCGTTGTGCTCGGCGTCGTTGAGGCCGTGGCCGCAGAGGCCTGCAGCGGATACGCGGGTGGGTGAGGATACGCGTTGGCTGGGTGCGAAGACAGAAGGAGGAGGCGGAGGAGGAGGAAGAGGACTTTCCCACCCACGTATACTCTTAAACCGACGTGTCACGAGATTGCCATGTGAGACCTCACCCAACCATCGCTACCTCCTGGCTCACCTTCTGGCAGCCCCCGCTCCCTCCCCTCGCCCCGCTAACCTTCACCTACCCGCTCTTGCGGCGGAGGGATGGGTCGGATATTGAGGCTGGGAGGGAAACGAGCGCACGCTTCCGGCGCCTATGGCTAGTGCCAGGGTGGCCGCCGCCTTTCACCCACATCCCGAAGCCACACTGTCGATTACCAATTTGCCTCCCCCCACCTCAGCCTGCCTCAACCTACCCGTTACTTCCACTGTGGCTCTTCAGCTACCAATGGAAGAAGTGGGGGGAGGGGCTATTGCGGGGTTGGGAGACGGCTGCAACTGGGAAAGCCACCGCCACGGAAGCCACAAACCTCCCCCGCGCTCGGTGGAACCCCCGCATGCGGCCCCAAGTCCCACGCACTGGGAACCGTTCGCCTGCTTGCGGGTGAGGGCCCCCGTCGGGGGATTGGGGGACGCCTGTGGGGGGGGTCCTACGGGCAGGGGCGGGGGGCCCTTGCGCCTTCCGGTTTGGCGAGCGCGGCCCCGCCGGCGCTCAGCCTGGCGCCACAGCCGTCGCAACAACCACAGCATTAGCCTCCCCTGCCCTCAGCGCGCCCACCACTCTCTACGCTGCAGCCCACTATATAGCCACTCTTCGGCCTCAACCTCTATGCAGTAGCAACCATTCACGCTTCGGCCTACTATCCACCGTGGGTAGCAGACGTGGTTGGCGTACGAGAGCGCTAGGAGGGTGGAGGGAATACTGCAAGCCGGTCGCCCAAGCGAAGCAGCGAAGCCCTTGGCGCCGTGCGGCCCGCAGAAGCTACCCAGTAGCTCCACAACTCCTCATCTGCTCTTTCACCAGCTCTAACACACGGCGTTTGCCCCCTCATGTATCTGCCTCACTCCCACGTTTCAACGCGCCTGTCGGCGCCTCTGGACCTGTCTCCACTTGTCTACTGCCACGCAATCAAAGTCGTCGCCTGCCGAAGACCATGGACGCCTCACCCCTAGAAGACCTCCTCGTGGCCTCGCATCGCCCGCCCTGCCCACCAAGCCATCCTGTGCACCGCAGCTGCCGCCCATTACTGTGAAGGGATTGGGTGGGTCTACATACTGGCGGGGGGGAAATTTATTCTGGGGTAGGTCTACCCAGACCCCCGACGTCATGATTCCCAACCATACTGTGGTGTTGGGTCCTCGTTTTGAAGAGACGGTGCCCCGCGTTCCTCCTCTCCTCTCTCCCCCTCCTCCTCCCCTCCTCTCCTCCTCCCCCTCCTCCTCCCACTCCTCCATCCTCCCCCTCTTCCCTGCGTTTCACCCACCCAGTATAGCTTTTCGTAGCCTCATAGGGAGCTCCACCGAAGGCCCCCGTGCCACCGTCCACATGCGCCCCCCCCACTCAGTACAGCGCTTCGTGGACACATAGGGAGCTCCACCTGAGGCCCCAATGCCACCGTCCACATGCGCCTCCCCCACTCAGTACAGCGCTTCGTGGCCCCATAGGGAGCTCCACCGAAGGCCCCAGTGCCACCGTCCACATGCGTCCCCCCCCCACTCAGTACAGCGTTTCGTGGCCCCATAGGGAGCTCCCGAAGGCCCAGTGCCACCGTCCACATGCGTCCCCCCACTCAGTACAGCGCTTCGTGGCCCCATACGGAGCTCCACCGAAGCTCCACCGAAGGCCCCAGTGCCACCGTCCACATGCGTCCCCCCCACTCAGTACAGCGTTTCGTGGCCCCATAGGGAGCTCCACCGAAGGCCCCAGTGCCACCGTCCACATGCGTCCCCCCCACTCAGTACAGCGTTTCGTGGCCCCATAGGGAGCTCCACCGAAGGCCCCAGTGCCACCGTCCACATGCGTCCCCCCCACTCAGTACAGCGCTTCGTGGCCCCATAGGGAGCTCCACCGAAGGCCCCAGTGCCACCGTCCACATGCGTCCCCCCCACTCAGTACAGCGTTTCGTGGCCCCATAGGGAGCTCCACCGAAGGCCCCAGTGCCACCGTCCACATGCGCCCCCCCTCAGTACAGCGCTTCGTGGCCCCATAGGGAGCTCCACCGAAGGCCCCAGTGCCACCGTCCACATGCGTCCCCCCCACTCAGTACAGCGCTTCGTGGCCCCAAGGGGAGCCCCACCGAGGCCCCAATGCCACCGTCCACATGCGTCCCCCCCCCCTCAGTACAGCGTTTCGTGGCCACATAGGGAGCTCCACCGAAGCCCCCAGTGGGACCGTCCGAGTGCGTCCTGAAACATCCCATTTGGCATTTTCACACACCCATTACAGCGTTTCGTGGCCCCACAGGGAGCTCCACCGAAGGCCCCAGTGCCACCGTCCGCATGCGTCCCGCACACCCAATGTGGCATTTTCACCTACCCAGTGCAGCGTTTCGTGGCCCCATAAGGAGCTCCACCAAAGACCCCAGTGCCACCGTCCGCAAGCGTCCCGAAACACCCATTGTGGCATTTTCACCCACCCAGTGCAGCGTTTCGTGGCCCCATAGGGAGCTCCACCGAAGGCCCCAGTGCCACCGTCCGCATGTGTGCCGAAAACCCAACGCGGCATTTTTACCCACCCAATACAGCGCTTCGTGGCCCCATAGTGAGCTCCACCGAAGCCCCCAGTGGGACCGTCCGCATGCGTCCCGGAAGCCCAATTTGGCATTTTCACACATCCAGTACAGCGCTTCGTGGCCCCATAGGGAGCTCCACCGAAACCTCCAGTGGGACCGTCCGCATGCGTCCCGGAAGCCCAATTTGGCATTTTCACTTACCCGGTACAGCGGTTCGTGGCCCCATAATGAGCTCCACTGAAGCCCCCAGTGGGACCGTCCGCATGCGTCCCAGAACCTTACTTGACACACCACTCACCCAGAACAGCGTTCCCCCCTACCCAGTGCAGCGCTTCGTGGCCCCATAGCCAGTTTTACCGAAGAAGATTTTCACAATTGCGGTACCCACAACTGCATATTGGGTCCTTCGCCAAGATAATTGTTTCATGACGTCGACCCCCAGAGGTCTGGACCCATTCCCTGGGACCGGTTTTTCATCCTGAATCGTTTGTTGACGGTCCCGAGGGCCGGTAAGGGCCCCCAGAGGCCAAAAATCATGAAGAACCTCCCGTCGTGATTTTGTCATGACTCGGGGGGGTCTGGGTACATCGGGCCACCGCCAGAACGCTCAAAACCTTCTCCCAGTGCTCGGTGGACCCCCCCAAGTGCGGTCCCCGGATATGTGTGCAGCCCAAAAGCCTCCGCAGAGTGCAAGCCTCAAATGGGGGGATGGGGGAGGATAGCCACCGGTCGGAAAAAGTGGTCAGGAACATGAAGTATGGAAGGGTTGTAAATGGGCACCAACACCAATTCAGGGGTATGCCTCCACAGGGGGAAGATGATCCTAGATTTCGGTGTTGGTGGTAATATTTCGACCACCGTGAAGCTAGAATATTACCACCATCACCGAGATCGGGATCTTCTTCCCTCGGTGGAGGCACACCGCCGATATTGGTGTTGGTGTCTACCTCTAGGCCTGCGAAAGTAGGAAGGCGTTGAAAAATTATCATGGCGATGGACCGAACAATATGCAGTTACGAGTACCGCAAAGCAGGTTGAACGAATGAGCGGGAACTCCCTAAGGGGCCACGAAACGTGTGAGAGGGGTGCCGAAATGGGTGCGGTGCCGCCATGCGAACGCAGCCATTGGGGCCCTCGGTGGAGCTCCCTATGAGGCCACGCACCGGGTGAGGGGTGTGCCGAAATGGGCGCGGTGCCGCCATGCGAACGCAGCCACTGGGGCCTTCGGTGGAGCTCCCTATGGGGCCACGAAACGTGTGAGGGGTGTGCCGAAATGGGCGCGGTGCCGCCATGCGGACGCAGCCACTGGGGCCCTCGGTGGAGCTCCCTATGGGGCCAAGAAACGTGTGAGGGGTGTCCCGACATGGGCGCGGTGCCGCCATGCGAACGCAGCCACTGGGGCCTTCGGTGGAGCTCCCCATGGGGCCACGAAACTTGTGAGGGGTGTGCCGAAATGGGCGCGGTGCCGCCATGCGAACGCAGCCATTGGAGCCCTCGGTGGAGCTCCCTGGGAGGCCACGCAACGTGTGAGGGGTGTGCCGAAATTGGTGCGGTGCCGCAATGCGAACGCAGCCACTGGGGCCCTCGGTGGAGCTCCCTATGGGGCCACGCACCGGGTGAGGGGTGTGCCGAAATGGGCGCGGTGCCGGCATGCGAACACAGCCACTGGAGCCCTCGGTGGGGCTCCCTATGGGGCCGCGAAACGTGTGCGGGGGGTGTCCTGACATGGGCGCGGTGCCGCCATGCGAACGCAGCCACGGGGGCCCTCGGTGGAGCTCCCTCAGGTGCCACGAAACTTGTGAGGGGTGTGCCGAAATGGGTGCGGTGCCGCCATGCGAACGCAGCCACTGGGGCCTTCGGTAGAGCTTCCTATGGGGCCACGAAACGTGTGAGGGTGTGCCGAAATGGGCGCGTGCCGCCATGCGAACGCAGCCACTGGGGCCTTCGGTGGAGCTCCCTATGGGGCCACGAACGTGTGAGGGTGTGCCGAAATGGGTGCGGTGCCGCCATGCGAACGCAGCCACTGGGGCCCTCGGTGGAGCTCCCTATGGGGCCACGAAGCGTGTGAGGGGTGTGCCGGTGCGGTGCCGCCATGCGAACGCAGCGACTGGGGCCTTCGGTGGAGCTCCCTATGCGACCACGAAACGTGTGAGGGGTGTGCCGACATGGGCGCGGTGCCGCCATGCAAACGCAGCCACTGGGGCCTTCGGTGGAGCTCCCTATGTGGCCACGAAACGTGTGAGAGGTGTACCGAAATGGGCGTGGTGCCGCCATGCGGACGCAGCCACTGGGGC